CCCCCCCCCCCCCCCGCCCCTGGAAAAACGGGGGGTTTGTAGGGCGGAGAGGGCTCGACGGGCACCAGCGGGACTAAACTCCACATTAAAAACAAAAAAACCCAACAAAAAAACTCCACAGAGCGTTTCAAAAGAGGCGCCGGGGTGGCGGCGGTGGGTTTTCCTCAGCGGGGCGGGCTGGGGTCCCCGCAGCGAGGGCGGCAGGGGTGTCGTCCCCCCCACCGGCGGGGGGCGAGGGGAAAGCGGGGGGCAGCGCTGAGGGAGCGAGGGGCGGCCGCGACGGGGAGAGACCGGCATCACTCACCTGCAGCCGACCAGCAGCTCCCCCAGGGATGGCGGAGGAGGGGGGGAGACAGGCAGGTCCCCGCCGCGCCCCCGCTCAGAGCGACGGGGCGGCCGGTTTCTGCCTTCCTTCCTCCCCTTCTTCCCTCCCTTCCCCGGGCAGGGCGGCGCCTCCTCCCTCCCACCTCTCGGGGGCCGGGTGAGCAGCGTCTCGGGAATTTCTACCCCCCCCCCCGCGCCCCGCTCCCAGCTCCGGGAATCGCGGCCGCTTTCCTTGGCCGCTCTCCCCAAGGCCGGCCCGGCCCGGCCCTCCCCCCGCCTCGCAGCGCCCGCGGGTCGGTCAGGGGCAGGGGCCTACCCCGGGGAGGAGCAGAGAATGGACACTTTGCTTGGACGCTCTCCCCATCCTCCGGTCCCGAGCGGGTCAGGAAACACACGTAGGAGTGGTGTCTCAGCTGCCCATGGCCGCAGGCCTCCTGCGTCTCCTTGGTCCGGCTCCAGGGGACGGTCACTCTGGCCACCAAGGCTGAGGAGGTGGCCTGGTGACTTGCAGCAGGGCTCTGAGGAGAGGCCATCATCGTGGGGCTGGTGCTGCCCCACCGCCTCACACGCAGCAGCTGTCAGACGAAATCCCGCTCAGAAGCCATGGTAAGGAAGGTTATGGCCCACAAACCCCGACTCTCTGCTCCCAAAATTGTAGGAGCGTAAGGCGGGAAGGGCCATCAGGAGTTCCCCACGTCTTTTGCCCTGTCCCTGGGCGATGGGTCCCCTCTGACAGGCCTCAACTCGGAGAGGAACACTGTGCTGCAAGCTGCCTGGGCTTCCGTCAGAAGATGTAGCCATGAGAAAGTTTTGGTTAAACCTGCAACTTAACCTTTTCAGGGTGTTCATGGTGGTTTTGCCAGTTTGTGGCACTTCGACCTAAAAGATGTCTTTGGCTTCTTATTTTCTTTTTTTCTAAGCTACATTTGTAGCTTAAACTAACATACCTATTAAGACACTGTTTTCCTTGCTCACCTTTAGATTGCCTCAAATTCTCAACATTGGGTTGCTTTCCCTTCGAAGGATGTGGACTGGGAAACGTTCTGCCTTACAGGCTATATTACTTTTTATACCTCCTGCTATATACTTTTTTTTTGGTAACAGCATGAGCATAGTGTTGCCGACTTACACTTGGCTTGTGATCCAGCCAAGTGATTCTTGGTTCTTTTCTTCTGAATTACTAGCTAGCTAGCTGTTCTCTGCCTCTTTTTGTTACGGTGCTGTCTCATGCTTCCCTTGGCTGACTAACATCCAGCTTCTTTACTCAGGTTTTCCATTTTCTCATGATGTTTTTGCTTTCTAGTCAAGCAAATGGTTTCTAGTCAAAGGAAGTTTTATTCTTCAGGTGTATTCTTCTGGAGAATTACATCTACTTCTTCCACAGAGTTCTTGTGCATGTTATGTGAGTCATTTAAACTGAACTTTTCACAGAGGGTCACTCATTTTTGATTGCCCACTTCCTTGTCTGGAGACACTAGAACCACACATTTGCTGTTGCATCAAAACTCAGAGGAGTACATGCATGAAAGGTTATCTAACTTGTTAGTCATACTGAAAATGAAAATCACATGTCTAAAATTGTTCAATTGCCCAGTCCTGTTCAACATATTCATAAACGACCTGGACGAGGGGACAGAGTGTATTCTCAGCAAGTTCGCTGATGATACCAAACTGGGAGGGCTGGCTGACACCCCAGAGGGCTGTGCTGCCATCCAGCGTGACCTGGACAGGCTGGAGAGCTGGGCAGAGAAGAACATAATGAGGTTCAAACAGGGCAAATGTAAGGTCCTGCACCTGGGGAGGAAGAACCCCAGGCACCAATACAGGTTGGGGATAGATCTTCTAGGAAACACTACTGAGGAGAAAGATCTGGGAGTCCTGGTAGCCAGCACACTTTCCATGAGCCAGCCATGTGCCCTTGTGGCCAAGAGGGCCAATGGAATCCTGGACTGCATAGGAAAGACTGTGGCCAGCAGGTTGAGGGAGGTCATTCTCCCCCTCTACTCTGCACTGGTGAGGGCACAACTGGAATACTGTGTCCAGTTCTGGGCTCCCCAGTTCAAGAGAGACAGGGAACTACTGGAGAGAGTCCAGCGTAGGGCAACAAAGATGATTAAGGGATTGGAGCACCTCCCTTACGAGGAAAGGCTCAAGGAGCTGAGACTCTTTAGCCTGGACAAGCGAAGATTGAGGGGGGACCTTATTTTTGTTTATAAGGATCTAAAGGATGAGTTGAAGGATGTTGGAGCCGGACTCTTTTCAGTGGTTTCCAGCGATAGGACAAGGGGCAACGGGCACAAACTGGAACATAGGAAGTTCCACTCAAATATGAGAAAAAGCTTCTTTAGGGTGAGGGTGATGGAGCCCTGGAACAGGCTGCCCTGCAGGGTCGTGGAGTCCCCTTCTCTGGAGATCTTCAAGACCCGACTGGATGCAGTCCTGAGTGATGTGCTCTGGGCAATCCTGCTTTAGCAGGGGAGTTGGACCAGATGATCTCTAGCGCTCCCTTCCAACTCTGACAATTGTGTGATTCTGTGAAAATTGGATGCCAAAATTTTGCCTTTTTTTTTTTCTCTTATGCTTATTAACAACTCTCTATAATATGCTAATGAGTCCTTTCCTTTAATATTTTTAGACAGTATAATTAGAAAATCTTACTGGAAATTTATCAATTCTGTATTTGAAAGTAGGATTTCAATAATATACAATAAATTAAACATAGGAGGTTTGTACATTAAGGGTTCTGATGGGGAAAATGGCGTATCATCATGTAATGAAAATTAAAGGGAATAAATTAAGACAGCTGGTTCTAGTGCTTTTTATATTTTGAATGGATGTCGTTGCACTCCATATTGTCTTCTAATGTAGGGATGGAAAATTTTTGCACATACTATTTTAAAGATAATATATCAAGTCATTTCTCTGCCGTGAGCCCCTACACCTGTGTTTGAAAATGTTTCTTCTGTTTGGCCTCTACTGGAGATACCTGTTTAAATCTGTATATTTAACATTTTCCAAACTATTTCAACTGTGTTCTTGATTATAGATGTTCAACCCTCTCTTATCTCCCCATTTGGGTAGCAGCTATAACCTCTGCTTCTGCTTTTGCACACTGATTCACATAATCCAAAAATTCCAGAATGAACAATGTCATGGTTTATCCTTTGAATGCTCCAGACCTATGAATATAAGAACTTGCTGCTATCTAAAAATAAAGTTCACAGTACTAATTAGTACCCAAAAACCTAATAAGTTGTTGAATAATGTCTATAAGGAATTTTAATGCCTCGTCAGAAGGTATTTCAAAAAGCAAGTTATCAGTTTTCTCGTATTTGAGACGGGAAAACTGAAATAGAAAGAAAAGAACTAAGATAGATCCACAAAGAACTTGACACTTCAACATGTTGAGTGTCACAGTGTCTACAGAATCTAAAGTGCCAAGTTATGTGCTAAAGTTCTTTATATGCCAGATCATAGCAATGTGATTCAAAAGACCTAGAAGAAGACACCCAATCCCACCTGAGGCCCTCTTTTTCTGCAACCACAGCTCTGAATTCTGCCCCCACTCCCCACCCCCTCCCCCACCCCCATCTCTCCTAGGTGCTTAGTTACCTGTGTCCATGTATCTGAGGCCCAGATCTGACAGAGCATAGCTGCATAACCTTGATCCAGGCTGCTGTGAGAGACCTATGAGAATATCTGTAGAGGGATAAGAAAGTCAAAGTACAGACAGAAATAGGGCTGATGACACGAGGTCATTCATAGTTCAAGGATTTCAGAGGGAAAGTACCAGCATGAAAAGGTATAAAATCCTAAAGGGAAAAATCACCTGGGCAACCTACCCAGTCTAGTTGGGGACTAGCTGGGAATCACTGTGTGTTCTAACCAGTGGTGGTGGAACTGCTGCAGAAGAGCAACTTGGCAATGCTGGGAATACTTTCCAGAGAGTGTGGGAAGTAACCTTTCCCCTTTTAACTCTTCCCTTTCCCCTTCCATGCCTGCCTGCCCAACAAAAACTTCTTGGGTAGGTTAACATGAGTGGCAAGGATACTAATGCATAGTCTAATAGCTTATTAAATCTAGATAGCTCTTCTGTGTGTTAGCCAATAACTAACTGATTTATTTTTAATTCCGTGTATTCTTATTGCAGAGTCTCTGAGCCTTGCTAAAAGCATCTGAACAAACTGACCAAGCATGATGGATGCACTCAACCCCTTAAACAAACTAGTGGTAGCTGGGCACAGGCTCCAAAGGAGGCAAAGGCCTAAGCCATAACCAGGTCAGGAACTTCTCTAGTTCCAATTGTTCTTTGAAAACTCGTGAAGGAATAGAGTGACATGGTGAGCAGTGATGTTTATAAGCTTGGAACACTGATCATGCGACTAACACATGAATAGCAGGTGGCTGTTCCAAGATCCATTTATCAAGGAACAAAGAAAGTTGTGGGTACAAGGAGTCTTGTGCATACCTTTCCCATCCCCTGTAATTTGACTACAATCTAACCACTTCATTCCATAAATATGACCACTTAAGGGAGCTTTCTCTGAGCTCTCCCTACTTAGCAGCTGGCTTGAGCTGGGACACTTCTCCAAGTTGCTCCTCAAGGCAGAGAGACTTCCCGCCAACTACAGATCTTTGGTATGTGACCAATACCATGCATAACCTGGTATTATAGTGCTCTAAGATTCTTGTGTTGCCAACTTTGAATCATCATTACATCTTTTGTGCAGTAAGTAATAGTGAACGTTGCCATCAGATATCGTAAGTCGCATTTTTACAACAGCATATTTCAATAAAACCACTTTTGCTGATACTTTTGGCCATGATTCTTTAAGTGGTCTACATCTCCCATCTGCAAAACCAAAAGGGGCCATAATAGACCTCCTGTTCACCTGCCTGGTAAGTCTTGAAAGCCTCCAAGAAAGGCAATTTCAAAACCTTCCTAGGTGACTTGTAGTGCTGCACTTCCTTCCTAAGGGCAAAGTTTTCCTCATATCCAACCTGAGAATCCCAAACCACAATTTGTGACTGTGCCTTATGTTATCTTGTGCCATCTGTCACCACCAAGAAGAGTTGCCTGTCTGCTTTGTAACTATCTTTTGGGTGGCTGTAGGTTGC